TTCCTTCCTTCCTTCCTTCCTTCCTTCCTTCCTTCCTTCCTTCCTTCCTTCCTTCCTTCCTTCCTTCCTTCCCTTTTTGCAGAGGTTTTCCAGTTCCTCAATTGCTTGCTTGGAGCTGTTCTACTCTACAAGAACCAGAACAGAGTACCATGCATTCTCCCCATGCCTGAGACCCCATGGTGTGTGTGCGCGTGTGTGTATGGGGAAATAACAAAGCCTGATTTTTGATCTGTAACTTTTGGGCTGTTTTATAGCCTGCAGCAAATGTTTTGCAGCTGCTGTCATACAGTGGCCCAGACTTGACCTGTGGAAGATGTAGAGTCTTTCTCAGATACAGTTGGACTCATGGAGACAGAGCAAAAAAGAAAAAAAAGGAAAAAGAAAAAAAAGGGACCAGCCAGCGATGATCATAAATCTGCTTTTGTACTACAGTTGCTATCATCTGCCCCAGCCCCACTATTTTTCTTGGCCTCTTGTAAGACCGGGGTTGGCACGAAATACATTGTTAGAAGGCTGCTGAATCATAGGGAAAAACTGGGGGGAAAAGTTTCCAGGGCAGTTAGCATGGTGCCTGTTACAAGTGCCTGAGGGTTATGGGAATTTAGGACAACCCATCTGAGAGGCATTGAGTAGGGGAGTTTGTCATAAGCCTGGTATTCTTGGTCTAGAAAGGATGCATTGATGGTCGAAGGAATGACAAAATAATGGGTAGTATTTAATGCATGTTGCGTGGAGTAATAATGGTCAGAGGGAAGGGGTGCTGCAGAACATACTGTTGATCTGGGATTTCAAGAAGTACCATTTATATCATCTTAATCAGGGATATTCTCTACTGGCCGGGACAGAAATCTGCTTACTATTTTTCCTTTTCACTAAACTCCAGGTTAGACACTTCCCATCATTGCTCACGTTTCCTCCAGTGTAAAGCTATCACTGTTTTCTTCCATCTTGGGGTTTTCAAGACTGTTTGTAGCCATGGTGTGCTTACTCTGATGCTGTTTTTATCATTTCAAATTTATATTGCTAAATATGAGGCATAACTTATAAGCCTTTATCATGCTTAACTGTTGCAATTTCCTAAGATATTTTTCTGATGCTCTAGCAGATCTGTATATCTTGAAATCTATATTTTCACAAGTGCTTTTCTCAGCAGTTAGCATTAACATTTTATTTAATTAGGTTAGCAGTTTTCCACAGCAGTTTAAGTAAGCACTTTGACAGACAGGCTGCTGTTAACAAGTGAGGAAATCTCTCCTTATCTCTCTCTGTTTGGGCTATATTTTTAATATAACTAAAATAGAAGCTCAACTGGATTCACTGGTAAATCATGAACAGTGCCAGCTGCATTATGAAATGCGTCAGCATTTTTTTCTGCTCAAGAAGCACTTCATCAAATTACAGGCAATGAGACTTTATTTATCAAGAAGCAAGACTGACTTTTCCCCCATGTTTAATTTTTAAAAAGTGGAAAGTCATCTTAGATTAGCTACGAATATGGGACAGAAGGCAGGTTGATTCTTTTTTCTAATTTTCCTTGGGGAGATTATATTCAATTTAGGATAGTCGTCCTTGGGATAAATACTGGAGGGTCATTTAAACTGTTCCACTGAAGATACATGGGCAAACATTCTGGAATTGAAGTCTTCCATTTACACACTCTGTGTTATGTGTCATACGAGTTCATGTTTGCCCTAACAAACTGACCTGGCAAAGCACCAAGTGTCCACAAATTGACAGATGCTGTGAATTCTTTCTACTTTTGTTCTTCAGTTGGGTAGTAGCCTTCAAAGACAGCAATTTGGAAGGGTGGCATTGTGAGGGCAGAGGAGAAGGTGCCCAGTTCTTCACTGTTGGTTGTTATCCTTGAAGAGGGCAGCAGTTTTGAATTATATATATATAATAAAAAAAAAAAAACCTCAACCCAACCCAACCAACTCAACCCTACCACCAGGACAAACTTTAGACACCCTTTCCCTACTGTTGCTCTCCCATTCTGAGTTGCTGGAAGCAAAAAAGGAGGAAAGCACTGAGAACTGAAAAAGAGGGGAGAACTTCCTATGAAAAATCATGTTATGTAAATTTTGTTATTTTGTACAACACGCATGTAAGTAAGTGCTCTGTTTCTGGAGGCCCGCCATCTTGCCTGGGACTTCAACTCCCAGAATTCCCCAGCCAGCATGGACTTCCATGCAGGTTTATGGAAATGCCAATGATAATGATAGGAAGTACAGTATATGCTGACTGAGACAGAAGGAAACATGAACCGTGCCTTCCTGGAGGAATCCTGATGTCACATATTGTGGTTACTGAGACCAATATCCACCTAATGAGTAACTGAAATGACCACCAAAGAAAGGTTCTCATGGTGAACACTTGGGAATCACCTGTCAAAGGCTTCTGGAGGACAGAACTGTGAGTACTGGGGGTTGGGGTTGGGGTGGGAATTGTCAAGCTCCACTGATTTCCAAGGTGTGCTGATCTTGGATTCAGGAGCTTCCCAGGATGATGCACAGCACTCCCTGTGTGGGCCTTTGGCTTCTACCAGGGAGTCTGTACTAGTGCTGTTCATATGCAGAAATTATTTGGCGGGTAGATAGAAAAAACAGAAGGAGCTACTGAAAACCTTCTTTGAAAAAAGTTGCATTCTCAGTCAGGACAATGAAACAGCTTATAATGGAACCTGGGAAAGAAGATGGTGGTTTGTAAAATATTACAGACACAGAACACCTGCACATTCTTCCTTTATCAAGAAAATGAGTAGCTTACTCCCCAGTGCATCTGCAGCTGGTTAGCAAGAAGAAATCTCCTCCCTAACAATTCCAGCTTTCCTTTCTTATTGGATCATTCCCTGGTATGAAAAAGATGGCTGATGCAGTGGGGAAAAGTCTACTGTTATGTGCATTTGGGATGTTTCCAAAGAAGAAGCAGTGATGTTTGAATCCACCTGTACAATGTTGCAAATGAGGAAGGCAGCTGTATAGTGAAAACTTCAAAAGGTGCTTCAGAATCCTGGAAACTACCTCTGAAGATGGTGATATTGTGGAGATGGAAATAGGACAGGAAGAGGGGAAGCAACCAAAAACATCAAAGAAAGGAAGCAATTCTCTAGTGGAGGAAGAGGACAACATGGGTGCCTGGGGCCACAGGGTGCAAATGACAAAATGGTGTTATCATTACACATATGCCATGTCTTACATACTTACACAAAATGTCAGGATGTAAGTAAGCAATTATAACATCAGTGTGAATATGTTATCGTTTTGGTGTCACTGTGGTTTGTGGAGAAACCACCCATGAGTATGAGCCAGTAGGTACATATTATATGCCAGTTGCTAGGGATCAGAAATGGAGGGGGAACTGCAAAGAGGTCCAGCTAGCATCTGAAGGGCGGGGTGAATTTTCAATAGTTATCCAAGGCTTTAGCATCAGAGAACTTCTCATGAACTTCAACTGGTCTGGAATGCTGCAACCAGAAGGTCGACCTCTTACAGCAGAGGCAGGCAACATTTTGGAGCCAAGGGACTTTACGAATGTCAACAGCAAGTGGAGGGCACAGTCATAAAATGGTTGTCATGATGGGTGCAGCCAGACACCAGCACCCATTTACCAGAGGGTGCTTTCAACCACTCCAGTAAGAGTTCAGTGAGTCTCCAAAGCATTGTTGCCAATGAATGTAATGTTTCAACGCCTGTGTACAGATAAGACTGCCTGCTCCAACCAGGATTGGCCCAACCTATTAGGTCATCTTGGGAGAAGTTACTCCTAGTGTCCCACTTTGGGGAAGTGAAGGAAGCAGTAGCCAGGAGCCGCTGTGTCTTGGTTGCAGGACTGGTTCTCTGGAGCAGTCTTCCTATGGTGATCTGGCCAGCACCGTTCCTGATACATGCTGGAGGATGCTGAAAACTGAGCTGTTCTGGAGACCATTCTAACCAGACTGATCATCTTTTGCTTTTATTTATCTCGAGTTTTACTTCAATCATCACCAAGATTTGATTTTATGTTTTGTGGGTGTTTTCAGTTGTTTTTCTAGGACGTAAACCACCAAGGGTCAAATGGACTGTGGCAGCATATAAAGGCAATGATAAATAAATGCTAGAGAACCCCAGGAGCCTGTCTCACTCACGGGCTGGGGACGAGATGAAGGCAGAGAAAATAGGTTGCCCGGGCATGATTGTACCATGGTTTGGTTCAAGTGGAGCATGGCCCTACCTGTGTTTTCGGAATAGAACCAATGTGTTGGCTTTTTAAAATTATGTTCGAACTGCTTTTTATTTGATTATTTTTCCTACCTGCTTTATGCCCTCTTCCATAGAAGAAAGTGTGAATTTATCCTACTTTGTATCCAATCTCTCAGCTGACTAGTAGCCCCTTATGTTTATTTATCATGGAGAATTTTGCAAGCCTCATCTACCAGTAAAAGGATTCCAGTTTATGATGTTCAAATACCCTTTGATTAAGTCTGCTTTAAATCAAGTGTTGGACTATGAGATAGAGTCTATTTTTCAGGCACATGTGCAAAGAAAACCACATAGGCTCCAGACACTAGAAGAGTCCTAACCACAATTTCCCCTTTGGATGGTAGAATGGCAACCACAGATAAGGAACCAAGATGAGTTCAGTGTGTTTTCACTCAGCAATAAGAAGGAAGCAAGTTGCAAGGATATTGTGAACGACATTTCCTATATGAAACAATCCCAACCAACGGATGCAGGAGGCAGAGAAGATGGGAGATGATGCGAAGTTGAGCAGATATGCGTCTAGAGTGTGGCGGTAATGGGATGCCATTTGGTGTCTTGCCTAAAATACTGGTCCTTTGATCTTCTTGTGTCCAGGCTAACAATCCCACTTTTTTTGCTTAGGTCTTTTGATTTGATTGATCATCTTGCAGGCTTCATTCCAGGACTGGTCATCTTGAGTCTACCCGTGACCTCGACAAGGATGGTGGCCAAAATCACCAAGGTGGTGCACCAAGAGTGGTGAAGCAAGGCCCACTGTTTGGGGCAGGGCTTCATCGTGACACTCTGTCCTTCATTCTGCTGATTTTGACCACTCCATGGATGCTGCTGGTGTTCAGTGCAAGCAACCAAGTGGCTTTCTGAGACTATGAAGTTTCCTACGCTTCCATAAATTCTGTAGATGTCACCCCTTTGCGATTTCCCAGTTCTGATCAGGTAGCAGACCAGGACAAGCCCCATCCTATTGCAGTCTTTAGCTTTGCAATTTTACAACATCATGGTCTCAATTCCAAGCTGTGCTTTTCAAGGCTAACATGAAATAATATAAAACGAAGCAGCCTTGCAGGCTGATGCAAATTCCCCAAATGGGATTCCAATTCCAAGCATTTCCCAACAAAAGGGAGGGTATAATTTCATGAATAACAATGAGAACAATAAAACCCTCAGTTGCCCATCGTTTCCAACAAGCTCCAACAAGCTATACAAGTTTTCTTTGAAAGTTGTACAAAACATCCAAACACACAATATATCCTTTGGCAATTGTGTGTTCCTCCCAGATGGTATGGCCTTAAATGGGGAATGTATTTGCGGTTGATGAGTAGTTGTGATCATGCCAGCGTAGCTGCCTCTTCCTTACAAGTTGGAGAGCCCTCACCCACAATGAAGCATTTTATAGTCCTGCTCCTGCTGACGAGTTTCTGCACAGAGAGAGGTGAGTGTGATTACCAAGAGACTCCTGATGCTAAAGGGACAATGAGATGGCCTTGAACATGAATTAGGAGCGTGCTTTACAAGAACTTTTCCTGCTGCAGGAGAGGATGCAGCACCACAAATAGATCTGGGCTCATGTTATGCCTTTTTTTTTTTTTGCATTGTCTGAGCAATGGGTTTGTTAGCTCCGGAAATGTAGTACTGATATGTATGTATCTGTTCATTCATTCTGAAGCTTGTGAGCTGTTTCTAGCCCAGCAGCAGCCAAGGTGGTTGGTGGGTCATGTAATTTTGGCTACCTGTGGAATTCTCCAGGCTAACCCTGCCTTTCTCCAGCTTTCCCCCCTGCAATTTTCTAGCTCGGGACATTGTACTTGAGCCGGAAGCGGTTCTGCCCTTGCTCAGTGGCTGGACATCAGGTTGTTATTCATGTACAGAGTCCTTTCACATGCTCATGTGAGCCAGAGAATGACTCTTGCTCTGCTTCTTCTCATTTTACAAGCGGATTCCAGCAATGGCTGGGTTGTGGACCAAGCATTTGTCCTTGAAGTTCTAATGAAATCTGTAATTAATATCCTGAGTTACAAAATGTATGGCCATCACTTGAGGAAGTTCCTTTTCCAATGTGTTGTTGCCTGAAAGTTGAGGCCAAAATGTGGGGACGAAGTGCCAGCATCCCACCGCTGAGAGAGCTGTTTCATGAGAAGATGCCAAAGATGGTCTTCTCTGGGGCCACCATTGTAGACCCATCGGCACCACTGATTTCCGTCTCACAATCAGAACCAAGGGGCCATGTTGTAATGATTAAGTTCGAGTGTTTTAAATTATCATTTATTCTATTTGGCATTACGGTTTTGCTTTGTTTATTTTGTGAAATGTAACCCCCCTCCTGCCCCCACAAAGATCCTTCTGATTCAGGAGCAGGGCAGAAATATGTCAAATAAATAAATGTTAATTCTGTGTTGCTTGGCTATTCATCTTAAATGTGGGGGGTGGGGAATGAATTAAAAAGACCTATAGAAGTAAGGTCTACATGGCAAATTTTAATGTTTGCAATCCCACTCCTATCTCAGTGGAACAATGAGCTATGAGTTCCTTTGCCACTGTGGAAGCTATGAAAGGCTGTGATTCTTAAAGGCTGAGTTGACATCATTTGTATGCACAGAGATAACTTTTCTGAAGAGGCAGCAGATTTATGATCCATTCATCAGATATCATGCAGTTCTACTTATGCAGTGTGCAAAGGGAAACCTTCATTCCCTTGTGTATCTGCTTTAGATTGTGGGACCAGATAATTAAGTCCTTTGCGTAAGCCAAAAATTATATTTGGGAACCACAATGCTCTGTATGCTTCTAACTGTAGCCTCAGCGTGCCAAGTATAATGTAGCTGTGATGTAAGAGATGGTGACACTGAAAGATTCAGATCTGCTTCCTGAGACGAGCATATTCAATCTATGGTACTCATACCCATGGTGGCCGAAGAAACCATGTACCACCTGTTTTAAATATAGCTAAAAGCTGTAGATCAAGGGATATTCCTTAGCATTTGCTTGTAAGCTCTGTAGATACTTTGTAGAGCAATGTCAGAGCAAAACTGGGGATCAGGTGGTACCATCTCTCTGATGTTGGTTGAGTTAGGAAAAGCTAAGCAAGATCAGATTTCATGAATCCTTGGTTGTGAGACCAGCAGGATGAAAGAATGAATAGTAGGGCAATTGTATGCCGAGCATTGCTGCCTGCACAGGATCTATCACACTTTGAGGTCTAGGAGGTTCCTGAGTTTCTCACACCTATTATCATTTTCTCTTCCTCATGAAAGGAACACACCTTTTGCTATCTAGAAAGTGCTATGGTTTAAAAAGTTCAGGAAAGTAATAAGCTTTCGCTGTTTAATGCATGGCTATAGAAGTTAACCTGGTAACTAAATTGATCTATTTTCTAGGTTTGCTCAATTTACTGAACTGAAAACTAACCTGGGTTTGCAAGTTGGACTAAGTCAAAAATAAAACAAGTTAGCACTAACCAGCCTTAGTAGGTTGAATGAAAGAGCGATGGGTCTTTTGCTGTCCTGGTTCGGTGTGTTGCAAAAACACAGCCTGTCAGTTGGCTTATGCATTTAGGAGGCACATGCTCCCCCTTCCCTGAAGGACCCAGACGAGAATGGGCATTTTCAGGGTAGTATGGCCGTAGACTTCCCTGAAGGACCCAGAATGAGACAAAACTTTGTGCCAATAGTATCATCAACAGTTCGTCTATAGACAAAGTCCCAGCTGATGAACTCTTCCCTGAAGTTCTGATTCTTGTAATAAGACAGCAACTGTTGTATCCTGTGATTGCACAGTGCAAATCAGTGTTATGACAGCAAAACACCTTTATATGCTTCCCTCCTGCCATCCCCTTCTCAATCCAACCGTACTTGGCTGGCAATTTTCTACCTCCCAGCCTCTCCAAGGCTCAGGTGCTGGGAAAACTGCAAAGCTGGAGCAAATCAGTAAGTTTTACTGGCATTTCCAGATCCCATCAACAAACAGTCGCTCACTTGCCCAATGTTGCTGTCGGATAAGAAGGGTGGTATCTCCTCAAGCAAAGCAGAAGAGATGCTTGGATTGCCCAGGTATGCCCCTGATTAGAAAACCACATTGTTCTGTGGAAATACAAAATTCATAGGTGGTAAATTCAGGGTAGGCAAGCGAGGTGTTGTCTTCACATCCTACACATTTGCTTCTACGGAGTTGAACACTGCAAGGTGTGGTGATGGGGTGGGGCTGAGAAAAGAGAGTGAAGTGCCTGGAAGATGGGTCTATCCCTGGTGAATGGGAACCTCCATATGCAGACGCAGTATATGTTTAATTGGCTACCAGAAGGGCTGGCCCAAGAGATGTTCCTGCCCTGGGATGGGAAAGTGTGTGACATGCAAATATATCAGTCCAAGTCAACGCTTACAGAACTGAGAGCTGGTTCTGCTGATGGCATGGCCTGCAGCAGATGCAGAGTGTGATGAAAACACAGCAGTTTTTCAGTTGTTTTAATGATTCCCAGTTTTCTTGATTTATTCTGCCTGCCAAGGTGGTATTTGTGGTTTGGCTTGGCTTTGCCTCATTTATCAAAATAACTTCCAGGGTTTTGAACAACATGCCTTGCTTTGGAGGGAAAGGTTGATAGGGCTACTATGTGCTCCCTAGGCTTCCAAACTTCTTGTGGCAGCTTGGTAGTATCTGGGACCAGCCAAGTTATTTGGAAACTTGAGATAAAGAATCCCCAAAGCTTCTCCATAAAATACAGTATTCAAGCAATCATGGGACAATTAGCAACCTTCTGTTCTGTCATAATACATTAGACCAATTGCTGTGGGGTCAGTCCAGTCTGGAAGCAATGGAAGAACATCTGGTTGACCACTGCAGGGCATTATCTTGAAAGGTTAGAAAATGGGTTGAAAACCACAGGATGAAAGTTAACAGACCATTGCAGAAGCATTTCCCTAGGAAATAGAAGACATTTTTTAAAAACAAATATTTTATTTAGTCAAATTTGTTATAGCTGCCCAACTCCAACGGGCTCTGCACAAGTAAATACACAGGTAAAGAATAGGTGGTTGGCCATGGCACTTGGGAAAAATATCTTGGAACAGTAGCTGTGAGTATGACTGAATGTGAGTGCAATTTTAGGGGGCATCCGTGGAAATAGAGGTTGCAAATGACAGTTCCAAAGCAGGTATTCAGGTTCTCCCCTTGAATATTGTATCCGGTTCTGGGCTTGATCCATACTTGAACAAGGATTCAGAGAAACAAGAATTCAGAGAAGGGAATGAGATGACTGGGGTATTAGAAACTAAGTCCTGTGAAGAGGGATGGGTGGAACTGAGAATATTTAGAAGGGAAGACTGAGGATGCAGAAAACAATGGCACTCTGAAAGGAAGTCGCAGAGGAGTACGCTCTCTTCCTTTCCAGAAGCAAGACATGGAAACTTGGATTGAGGCCATAGGAAGGCAGATTCCAACTCAAATGTTACAGACATAAACTATACAGAAAAACTAGTGACTGAGTGAGGCGGTGGGCTCTCCTTCACTGGATCTGTTTGAGCAGTGGCTGGACTTCCCATCGAGGATGATTTAATCCTTCTAACTAGTCTTTCTAGTAATTGTGAGATCACAGGGTACCTTAGGAGCACCATGACTTTCAAACTGGGTCCTTAATGGAATGGTTCTCCCAAAATAGTATTATTTTTGTAAGAGTCTGGCTTGACTGCTGGTCCAACAGACGTTGTCTATATTACATGGCATTCTCCATGCTCAACAGGTGGCACCACTGGACCAACCTTGCTTGAGTTCTGAAGCCAAGCTGGAGTCAGGCTTGGTCAGTGCTCAGATGGGAGAGTTCCAGGCAGTCTGTTGGGCTATGGACTGGGCTGGAAAATTGGGGAAAAAAAAAACCCACTACAAAGAAGAGGCAAAGCACTTCTACGTTGTTGCCAAGTAAGCTGTGTGGATACGTCTTAAAGTCACCAAGTGTTGAGCTCCATGCAAATTGTTTGACATTTAACATAGCCCCTTTAATCTTCTCCACTCCCTGAGCCTTTAATTGAGGGCTTAATCTTTTTAGTCACCCTCTATTAATAAACTGAGTTATGGTTTTCACTTTGCCATGCAATCATATTCTGAAGTAGGGCCCAGGTTTTAACAGGAGCTGATTTGTCTCTGTCCAGCCTCAGTTTCTCTCTGCAGGAAATTCAGTCCAGGGCAGGACTGGGAGTGGCCGTGCTCTGGGGACCAGCTGTCAGTGTGACTAGGCAACGTGGAACCTCATCCTACCCAAAACAAACAGCTTCAAACGTGTGTGAGCTCAGTGCTTTTGCTGGCCCTGGATTTCAATCTCTAGCTGACTTGTTTAAAAGGTTTAAAAAGTCCCTCAAGTCGAGCTCAGTTCTTGGCGACTCTGCACTCCCTGGATGTTGGTTATTTTGGTTTACTTTCTATTTGAGCCATGGGATCTGGTGGCCTCCCATCCAAGATGATTACATCTAACTTTTTGTGATCAGCCCAGATGGGCTTAGAGCTCTTTTACTGATGTTCAGACTTGTGCTGATCATAAAGTCAGAAAGAGGTCCACTTCGGTATAAGATGGTGGTAGTATGATATTCAAGAAAACTATCATCATCATCATCATCATCATCATCACCCTCCTCCTCCTCCTCCTCCTCTCATCTCTAGCTCAGAAGGGGGAATAACACCCCACGCCTAATGAAAGGTGAACCTAGGTTGCCCTGTTCTTGGTGCTGGACAGAGGAGTGCTCCAAGAAGTGCTTATTTTTATGCCTGGAGACTAAACCTCCCATGAGTGGGTTTTATAACATTCCGATAGCAACCAGACTCAGTTGCACAGAGCTGTGGGCCAGGTTTCTTTACTAGAAAAATGCCAAGGTTGGATTTCCAGAGCTGCCCCAAGATGTTGGATGTTTGCTTTAATTTCTCTCCTATTACGGTAAGCAAAAAATGTTCCATGGAAGACTCGTAGCAACTGACAAGTGTCTTTCTCCCTGTCCCCCCCCCCTTTCTGTAGCTTTGTCCCTGTATTGTTTCAGATGTGATCGTGCAAAATCCCATGCAGATTGTACCGGTTCCATTAAGTGCTCTGACTTGGACAGATACTGTGTGTCACAAACCCAGCAAGGACATGGTAAGACTCAGAAAGCATAATAATGGGTAAGCAGGAACTTCATCAGGGCTAAGACCTGCTTCCTTGGTAGAAGTGAAGGGGCCTGGAGCAGCAGTTTCAATGGAGGGCTAAGAAAGAAAACTGCTAAGAATCCAAAAGAGAGCTAGAAATGTGAACAAAAATTTATTCTTTGAAGAAAATTCAAAGGAATCAATGAGTTGAGCATACGGCAGGTGGCATTGTTAAGTAGAGTGAAGCATCTGCGTCTGGTGATAGATGCTATCTAGGTAAGTAGGCAGTGGTGGCAATGGAATAAATTCAGCAACCTGCACATGAGTTGGGCTAGAATTTCTTATTCCTCATATCTCATGCAACAAAAGATCTTTCACACCGCCTCTCTTTCCACTGTTTTTCAAAAGTAGTTTGAAACCAGTCCACGAGCATCTTCACTGCTGCCAAAAGTGCAGGAGCCAACGTGTGCTCCTTCCAGATGGTCAGTAGGAGAGTGCAAAGAGTAACTTTCAGTCATTGCCCTTCCCTGAGCTATCACCAGTCCTGGAGTATAAAAAACTCTCCCATTCCCCACTCCAAAATGAAAGGACAATACAGGGCTATCATTCTGCCTGCCATATTGTTTGTTCATGATATGACCATTTGTTTGGTCAAAAAGAACTCCACCACCAAACCATTGCATTGACAGGGAACTGCTAAACTGCTGAGCCACCATTCCCTTATTGTACCGAAAAGGCCATATGAGGCAGGGGATGGAAAGATAGAGTTCTTACCAGTGGGAAAACTGCCCATCCACAAGTTCTGTGCTGCTGTAGTAATGAAAAGATTATGTTTGCTGCAGTACTCCTGCTGGGTAGAAATAAATCAGTTCCACTCCAAAACATGTCCTCATTAATCTCCCAGTTAAACACTGCAAGTCTTAACATGCAGTATTAGCTTTGCTAGACTCATTTTCAGTGGAAATTCCTTTCTCCAAGCTTCGTCGATTATTGTCCTATCTAGCAGGTCAGGAGCACATTTGGAATTTTGAGAGGAAATAATGGGCACTCTCACAAAATGGCTGTCACAAAGAACACCATTCACCAGAGGAGGAGCTAGATGACCAGAATGCTTTCTACCATCCCAGTGCAATTTTGTGGGGGGCTCAAAGGCATTGCTACAGATGTACAATGCTGCTTTGCTTGACCAGCTGACCCCTCAATTTTTTTTACAAAAATCACCTTTAAAAGGAAAAAAAAAAAGTCCTGATGGGGTCCAAAGGAGGTCTTCACAGAAATCCCTCTGTCCTACAGAAATGACTCTTCTCTCTCTTGTTCCAATGCTGGTTTGTTCTGCTCTGTTTAGGGGAGGAGCTGATGATTGGCAAATGGTGTTCGCTGGAATGCCCCCAATTCAGCTTGGAAGCTAAAGGGGCCAACATCTCCACAGAGTGCTGCCAGACTGATTACTGCAACAGCGGTGGGCCCAGCAGTGTGCAAAGCATCAGTGCTCTAGTGATGGTGGCAACCCTCGCCAGCTTCTTCTACATCCTCCAGAAAGGGTTGTGATGGGGAGGGGGGGCAGGAGGAGAAGAGAGGCCTGGGGTGGCTCTCCAGACGTTCCTTGGATGCCCTCAACCCCCTGGTTCTTCATTTTGGTTTAACTGAGTTCTCTTCTACAGGGGATGCAGAACAATAGTCTTCTTCCCCAACCCCACCTGATCCAGGATACCATCTTGTAAAAACGCCTTGCATTTGGGAAAACGAGGGCCTATGGGAGAAAAGCTTGGGCATAACTGCCTCTTTCTGACGCACTGGTTTACTGTGTGCCCATGTACAAAGAAATGTCTTATAGAATGAGAAAAGTATAGCCTTCTCCAGGCATGTCCACAAGGTGGTAAAAAAAAAAAAAATCAAGATGGCAGCTATGACTGTGCAATCAAAGCTCAGCATTAAAGGAGGGAGGGGGGGTTCGATTGCACAGTTGTGGCCACCTCTGGATGCCCCCAACCCCCCTCAGCTGCACCATTAATTGGTTCAGCCCAAATTCTCTCCTGTTTCATTCTGTCTTCATGTCTGAATCTTCCTTTCTTTCCATCACGGATACAACTCTAGTTCTCCTGTCTTACTTCTTCTTCTACCTGTTGGACCAGCTTCTCCTTCCTCCCTCCCATCCCTGTAATTTTTTTTTTAATTTTATTTTTAACGCATAAAAATATTTTTAACCTCAGAGCACCTCCTGTAAAATTGTCTCATCCTGAGAACTGACAGGGCTGTGGGCTGATCATGGAAGACAAAGGGTTACAAACCCCTTTGTCTTCTGCGCCCCCAGCCGTCAGGGAATTACAGTTGTTTGAGATCCATGGCTATGTCTGTGCACTGGAGGAAGGGAACCCATGGATTTGTTGCTCGCTGTGGCAAAGAGAAGGTCTGGCATCGGTCCAAAGAACTCAGGTAATGCTCCTGTCTGAAATGCTGGAAAGGTGCTACAGTCAATGGAGGCTTGGATCAGCAACATTTCAGATGCCCACGCCATCTTGCCCTCTCTCGCAGGGGCACAGGTATCCACCATGGAAGCAAATCCAGCACTTTAAAAAGTTAAACAGTTGAATCCTAGCCTGTTTGGCAAACCTTACAAGATTTCAGCAATCATAGATTCAAGATATCACAAGACTTTTGCTTCGTGAGATTTTGGACGAGAGCATCGAAATCTTGCAGAGTTTGTCAATCCCATGAAATGTCATGGATTGTTATGCACCCTAGAGGCATCTGCAGGGGGGCAAAGGACAACAGAAGTGTTGAACCATCATGGTTGCAGCTCCGCCTCTCCTATATGTGTATCATGACACTGGATGCACGTATGAAAAAAGCAGAACATACAGCATGACATAACTTTGATAATTTTAAGGAAAGCATCTGATTCTGCAGACGCCTGTGATCTGGATGGGCCACAGACATCTTGCCAGAGTGGTATAGTGATTAAGGAGTTAGACTAAGACTAGGGGGAGCTGGGTTTAAGTCCATCCTTGTAAACCCAGGATGTCCTTTGGCTAGTCATTCCCTCTCTGCCTATCTCACAGGAATGCTGTTTAAAGCAGTCTTTCTCAACCCTGGCAACTTTAAGACATGTGGACTTCAACTCCCAGAATTCCCCAGCCAGCACAGAACTTGCCAAAGTTGAGAAACACTGATTTAGAAGATAAAAGAGGGGAGATCCCCATTTAAATTTGGATTGAGCTTCTAATGAAAATCTCATGCAAATCTTCTGAATTATTGTTTGTTTTTAGTTTACATTAAATCCATATTGACCTTTCATAGCTGCTGGTCCTTGATGTAAACATTGCTGAAGTAGGTGGTTGCTAAGGCTCCCTTCTGAAGCCGAGCAAAGCTCTGGTAGAATAAGGGCTGGTTGTGAGATCTGAAGATAGACCAAGAAGTGTTAGTCACCCCAACGAAGCCCTAATTTGGAATTCAAGAAGAAAACACCTTTGCAGTTTAGTTCAGTGCAAGAAGAGTGTCCTCTAATGGGCAAAGACAAAACTGCAGATTGCAGGATCTTTTGGATGTAAACTTGGTTTGCTAGCAGCAGATCAGCAAACCATGCTATTTGTCTTGTCAAGGGGTGGAAAAGACCCCACGGCCTCCTGGTTTCACTTCCCATCATTCTAACCGCTTCTTCCAGCATTCTAGAGGGGGCAACTGGAGTGACCCCAAGCACCGTGGCACCGTGGTCTTTGGAAACAGGGGGCACGTTGTTTCCACAGCAACTTCCAAGTACCCAAGCAAAGTGTTCTTTTGGGAGTTTTGCTCGGCCCTCCCTAAGACACTGATGGGCTAAGATACAATGTTTGGATGAAGAGAAAAAATAGTTGCAGTCTTTCCAATTATGTCAGTCTTTTCTGTTACGATGCTTTCGTAAGGGGCAATCATTGCCTAAGCTTATTCCTTCACTCCCCACGCGCAATTCAAGAGTTAGAGTTCTGGGTTCTCTCCAAACCAGTTAAGCCCTTGCAGATTTCATGGGAAGGACCTTTCTCCACTCCTCCTATCCCAGGTCCTCACCAGCAAGTGAATCTTCTTCTCCTTTCTCACCTCCTTTTTCTGCTTTATCAAAGTATTAATCGGGGTGTCTGCAGGAAGGGGATAGAAGAGTCAAAATGGCATTGTGATTGAAGCCCTGCCCCCTTTTTTAGTGTGGGAAGAAGAGGCAGGGCTTCAATGGTGTGGTCATGGCTGCCATATTGACTTTTTTGGATGCCCCCAGTATTAACACTAACACTTCAAGCATTTTTCAAGACTTGTTGCTGTTATGTTAATTTTCCAGCTATATATATAAATTTAATTTAGCTTCATTTTTTTCTTGGTATTTGGTACCCCACCTAATTCCTCTTGATGGATGGTCTCTTCCCCCCCCCCCATTTGCCAGAACTGTTGAGTATTTTTTTGATCTTGGAAATGGAGTGGCATATAAGCTAAAGTAATCAGTCAGTCAGTCAGTCAGTCAGTCAGTCAGTCAGTCAGTCAGTCAATCTCTTCCAAAATATTAACTCAAAAAGAGTAATTGCATGGACATTATCATCAGTAGCACCAACCATTCTGATGATAACAGCATCAGCACCATCTAGAAAAATTAATATAATTTAATTAAGTATTTTCTGCTGCT